CTCCAGCCCTACCAAAGTGGGCGTCACACATCTGCAGTCTGAGAACATGGGAGGTAGAAGCAGGAGAATCCCAAGTTCAAGATGATCGCGTACACAGTGATTCTGAGGCCATCTGGGCTACATGAAACCACAGTCCATGGCAGACCCACACCCAAGAGTAGTAGGACAACACAAATCAGACTTGATGAGAGTTTTCAAAAGAGGAAGAAAACTCATAGGTGGGTGGAGAGGTGAGGGCAAACAGGGTGAATATGGGAGGAAGAGGCAAGAGGAGGGTGAATATGATCAAAATAAATCAGATGAATTCTCAAAGTATTAATAAAATTATATACAATATATAATTATATATTATATGTAACAAATTTTATTAAATTATATATTACATATCACATATAATTATCTGATTATATATAATATGTAATTATGTATAAAATATTGCTGTATAATTATATGTGATTTAATAAATTATATACATATATAATTTTATATATGTATATATTTTATATAATTATATACATATATAATTTTATTAATATTTCAAGTACACTCTAGACCACAAAACCAATCATAACTAAATGGATAACACATACAGATAGCTTTCTTTAGCTGTAGAGAACAAAGTTTAAAGAAACTTATCACTCATTCCTCTACTTAGAAATTAAAATTAATTGAGGAAGTGCTGGAGAAGGAGATGGTGATATAGTGCTTGCCCAACATGGGCAAGGCCCTGGGTTCAATCTCTAGTATCACAAAAAGAGAAATGACCAAGGAAGACACTCTAGTTTGGATAATCTGGTAGCATACATAGATAGTAACCCGAACCAGCATTTATTGGAGGAACCTGGCAGGTACTAAGAAGTATTGAGGCCTTTGTTACCCTCTACTCTGTAAATTATCACAAAGACCATGCAGGACAATCTGTCGACCTGGAACAGGTTTGGAAATTTTGCTTAGTTTTGTACTTTTGTGGGTTTTTTTTTATTAGCTTTATTTTTTGTAGACTTACTTTATTTATGTGTGTACTGTAGATATGTGCATGTACATATAGGTGCCTGTGGAGGCAAGAAGAGGGCATCACATCCCCTGGATCTGGAATTACAGGTCATTGTGAACTGCCAAATATAGACACTGGGAACCAAACTCTGGTCCTCTACAAGATCAGTAAGTGCTCTTAACCTCTGATCTTTAGCCCCTAGCCTTCTTAATAGTTTTAGGTCTATAGCAAGATTTTGCAGATGGTACAGGAAGTCCCCATCTGTAACCTACTCTTCTATGTCCACAGCCTCCCCCAATAACAGCATCTTTCACCAGAGACACGCACATTTACTATGACAAACCTACATGGATGTATCCTTATCAAAATTTACAGCTTATACTGGCCTCATTCTCGGTGTACAGACTGTGGTTCTGACAAATACATAGCAGTATGTATCTAACATTGCCATATCACATAGAGTGACTCTGCTCCTTTAAAAGTCTCTCCTGTGCCCATTCATCCCTCCCTCCCCCATTCATTTGACAACTGCTAATCCTTTTACTGTCCCCAACATCTTACCTTCAAATCCACATTTTTACCTGAGAAAGCCAGAAAAGTAAAAAAAGTGCAAAGGGAACAGAAAGAAGCAAGTATAGACTATAAGTAGATGAAATATGGGGCAAGAAAAAGAATAAAAAAGAAAAAACAATGAAACCAAACTTTAGCTCTTTGGGAACATTAACATACTAACAAACATATAGTCTAACTGACTGAAGGAGGAGAGGGGAGCTGACTCAAATTACTGAATCATAAAAGAAGAGCTGCTACCACCAATTTCACAGAAGATAGAAGCATTATAAAGGAATCCTGTTACCAATTATATGCTAACAAACTTGGCAACTTAGATGAAATGAACAAATTCCTTGAAAGATAAAATATCAGATCTGACCCAACAAGAAATATGAATTCTTCAGTTAAGGCTAGACAAGTAAAGAGATTACAAAGGCTTCCCACAGGGGAGAGCCTAGCCCCACATGGCTCCACCAGCAAATACTACCAAATGTTTAAATCCTGCATTCTATCCTCCCAAAACCAGAAGAGGGATGTGATGGCTATTCTTAGTTGTCAACTTAACTACATCAGGAATTAACTAAAACCATCAGGAATAAATTAAAACCCAAAAATGGCTGGGCATACCTGTGAGGGATTTTTTTTTTTTCTTAACTGGGTCATTTGAAGTGGGCAGATCCACTTCTAATCCGGATCTTTGCAGTATGAAGATATACCTTTATTCTAGATCTTTGGAAGTGAGAAGACTCACCTCTAATATGGACTACACCTTCTGTTGGAAGCCCCAACCCCCAGTAGCAAGTCCCTCCTGTCACTGGCATTGAAGCATACTTCTTCAGGATTCTGGTGTCTACTGAAGCTAAGACATCCAGACTCATGTACTGAATAACTATTGGATTCCTGGACCTTCTGTACATAGGCAGCCATTGTTGGATTAGCTGGACCACAACCTGTAAATCATGTAATAAATCCCGTGTGTGCATGTGTGTGTGTGTGTGTGTGTGTGTGTGTGTGTGTGTGTGTGTGTATGTGTGTGTAGACAGACAGACAGACAGATTGATATTCTGTAAGTTCTGTTACTCTAGAAAACCCTGAAGAACACATAGGAACACTCCCTTACTTGCTCTATGATACCAGTATTACCCCAATATCACACCAAGCAAAAGCATCCCAAAGAGGTTACAGGCCAGATGCAAAAATCCTCAGTAAAATACTAACAAATCAAAGCTAATAATACAGATGTGCTGGATAGTTTTATGTCAACATGACACAACCTGAAGTCATCTGAGAAGAGGGAGCTCCAATTAAGAAAATGCCTCCCTAAGATCAGGTTTTAGGCAAGCTTGTAGGACATTTTCTTAATTAGTGATTGATGTGGGAGGGCCCAGTCAGTTGTAGGTGGTGCCATCCATGGGCTGGTGGTCCTGGGTTCTCTAAGAAACTAGGCTGAGTAAGCCATAATGAGAAAGCCAGTAAGCAAAACCCCTCCATGGCCTCTGCATCAGCTCCTGCCTCCAGGTTCCAGCCCTGCTTGAATTCCTGTCCTGACTTCCTTTAGTGATGGATTATGATGAAGTATAAGCCAAATAAACCCTTTCCTCCCCAACTTGCTTTTGGTCATGGTGTTTCATCATAGCTGTAGGAACCTTAACTAGGACAATGGAGAAAGAGCTATGTACCAGACCAAGTGAGGCCTACCCCAAAAAATTGAAGTTTGGTTCAATATATAAACACCAATCAAATGCAATACAAGAGGGCACAGAAAAATCATCTGGTAAAAGTACACGGCCTTTCATGATGAGAACAGTCTCTAGACTAAAAAAAAAAACAAACAAAAAAAAAACCTACCAATTCCCTCCCCTCTTCAACCTGCAAAAAGCTGTCTGAAAGATTCCCAGGCAACTTGTTCTCATCTGTGGAAACTTCCACAGGTGATTTGCCAGCGAAAGAGCCTGCTGTCCAGGACAAGCAGGGACAACCCCTGTTTCCACTCCTGTTTCACCTAGTGCAGGACACTCCAGGCCAGGCAAAAGGTGAGGGAAAGAAATAAAAAGCAACCAGCCTGGAAAGGAAATAAGAATACCTCAATCCACAGAGACATTATCTATAGACAATCCTAAGGATTCCACAGGAAAACTGCATTACAAATTCAGCAAAGTTTTACAATACAAGATGCATGTAGCAAATGTTAGGATTTTCATCTTCTGACTTTCACCCCGATGAGTTTACCTACATGAACAAATGTGCATGGGAGAATGGGGGGAGGGGACTTCAGAGACTGCTCATCACAGCAGATTCAAACACCCCTCCTTCCCCTCATGATACAGCCACATTCAAATAGTAGCTAGACTGAGCACTTTGTATGCAGACATTATTCACCTGCTTTTTTTTTTCCCTCAGAAAAGAGGTGGAAAGGACTGTTTTGAAGTAGTTAAGATAAAGAATACCAGGCTATCAGAAGTCTTTCTTCTGGCTCTGAGCCTTGTGATTATGGATGAGTAGTTTACCTTCCCTGATCCTGCATCTTCTCATCTGTAACAGGAGGGAAATGTACTGAGAGACAGTCAAGCCTCCTACTACCTCTAATTCTCTCCCTGTGACTTAATTCTCTGCTTGGTTTATCTTGACAAACTCTCCTTTTTCCCAGGCACCAGAGGAGGACAGATACTGAGTTGTCATGAGAAGAAACGGGAGAACAGGAGCTTGACACCATGCCACTTGCACAAATTGCTGTTGTGGAATATTATTTTAAGATGTGTTACATGTGGTGCATGACTTTAATCCCAGCACTCGGGAGGCAGAGGCAGGAGGATCTCTATGAGTTCGAGGCCAGCCTGGGCTACAGAGTGAGTTCCAGGATAGGCACCAAAGATACATAGAGAAACTCTGTCTCAAAAAACCAAAAAAAAAAAAAAAAAGTTGCCTTGGTCATAGTATCTTATCACAGCAGCTAAAAAGTAACTAAGTCACAATCTGTTGCAAAGAGAAGTGTCCTTGGCTAGGGATAAGCCAAGATAAGACTGAGCATTCATAAAAAAGAATAAGACTCTGTGTATTGGGAGCTGGGTGGCAGGCCCCTCCAAAAGAGCCAAAAAGCTAAAGACTAATAAACAAACAAACAAACCTATAAGTTGCTGCTTCCACCAGTGAGGGGCTTGGGTGAAAAGCAGGGTTATAATTTAAGCAAAAATCCTGCTGCTTCTCCCCCAGCTCCTGAGCACAGCTGGACCTGCCCTGGGCACACACAGGATTGTGGCTGTGCTGGCTTGCACTGACCCTTCTTCCAAAGGCTTTCCTCTTTCCTTTGGTAAAAGAAAGCCCATTGGTATAAAACCCGTTTCCCCTGGGCTCTGTTCCGTCACTCCAGTACTTGGACACCGAGTGTTGATAACCTACAGGCGAAGGGAGTCGTAAGCTGAGCCTGATCATGTTGCCCTTGTGATATAGTTTTATTTTTAACTTTGAAACACTTGAACTATGTCAGTTGACGTTTTCTCCCATTCGCTTGCCTTTCCAGCAGAACTCCGGTCCTCTGCTGCAGCATAGGCACCGGCAGCCACCTCCTTGAGACCTTGCTTACCATCTAAGAGCTGGTAGCTGCAGATGCTGAGTCAGCTTGTACCATTTAGGTAAGATTTTCAAACGTGGGCAGGTGCAACCTAGGTTGTTCCTCTGTGCCTTGAAGGTGGGTTGTTAAACAAATTTCGGAACCTGTGGGTGATGGGGGAGAGGTTGGTACTGGGAATCCTCAGCCATGTGTAATCTGTTTTGAGTTTATTTAAAATCCTACAGCAGTTTGTAGTGCCAGCAGCCTTCTGCCGGCTTAGGCTGGCTCCTCTACAATCAATCAGAACAGTTCAGTGTTATCTTAGTTACAGAGCAGTGATAGGGGGAGGCAGCATGTGCCGAGGAAAGAAGTGGAGACCCAGAGTTAGTTCAAAGGCTGCAACGTTTTCTCCAATCATCTTTGCTGCTCTAATTGCAAGTCATTGTCACAAGGCTTAAAGTCCATCCACAGTGACACACTGCGGGCTACCGCGCCACAGCTGTATTTCACTGCACTCGCTACTCACACTCTGCCTGCAATCTGAAACCCAGCTTTGCCTAACAAAACTGCCTAAGTGCAGCTCTTTCCTGCACACTTCCCTTGAATCCAAAAAAACACAGCCATGAAAGTGAAAGTGTTCTACAAGCTGAAAATCATATACAGGCGGATGTACTTAAACTCAAAACTGTGACTGACTGGAAGCATGTTGACCCAGAACAGCAGAAGCAAAGTGAGGAAAGCCATTCATGGTCTTAAAAGCTAGGAAGGCGGATAAATCACTCCTCGCTCCTGGAATAACCGTACAGTGTTGTGTTCGTGAAAAAAAGTTGGCAACAGCAAAGAGGCCCTGTTTAGTTTCCTATATTTCTTCAGTTCAGAGTTCAGCTGAGGACAGCCTGGGAAGTGGCCTGAGCAGAAAGGGATCTGAGGTGTCAATGCTGAGTCCAAGGGGGTCTAAGGCAACTACTCAGATGCCCTAACTTCTGGCTCCTTTTTGTCACTGTCCTGTAACCCCCAGTGTACCCCCCAAGTCTGTACAGGAGTCTATGTTAGTATCGGACCTATTTGCTTAGGCACAATCAGTTTCATGGTGGCCTTGTCTAAACGGCGTTTAATTTTGCCAGAGTTTCCATGGCACTGAGGCAGAAGTGGGTGCATGAGACTCGGGTAGGCTAGATTAGAAGTCTTCAAGGGGGCAACTTGCCAGCCCCCCCCCAAGTTAAGGACTGACTATGAGAATTAAATGCTAATAAGTCAAAAGCTTTAAAGGTCGAGTGACTTCTAGAGATGGAAGACTGCCGATTGTAAAGCTGACGGGATGCCGGGAAGCTCATTTTATTAGTGGATGGTGAAGTTGCCGGAATCACAGCCCAGAAGCCCATGGACCACATGAGGGATTTATCAATAGATGCCAAGGGGAGTTAAAACCCCAAGGGGCAGAGAGATGAATTTAATGGTTAACGTTATACATGTTCTTTCTCTAGAGTTAAATATCTCCGTAGCAGGGAACTGGGAGAACAATGAGTAACTCTGACTAGCTGGTGGGTGAGTGGGTTGGGAGTTAACACATTTGATCTTTGCCTTTTAACCTTCCCACTTTCACCGAGACTCAAGTTCAGAAATCAATCATTTTGAGGGCTGGCCACATGAGGGGTCACAATTGTCACAGCACCATATGATGGGTGCTGAAAGGGCCATTGCCTAAAAGATCTCCCTGACATCAAGCCTGTGTGTCACTAACTTTAAAACCATAGCAGAACATGTGAAAATTACTGTTGATCCCATTCTGTCTTGCTGGTTGTAAATATACCTGCTATGTGTGTTATTGCGACCTTATTGGCCAATGACATTTAGTCACCTTTTCCTCCAACCTTCCAGGCTCTGTCCTACTTCACCTTTGGCACCATCTAAGCTCTTAACACACCCTTGGCCACCTCCACTCAGGTACTGGCTATGTGGTGCCGGGGTTTCTACAGACTTAACAGAACATCTGGGTGCAGCGAGAACAGAACAAGTGGCTAGTCGCAGACAGTGTCAGAGCTCAGGCAAGACACAGTCCACCTCAGGGCCTCAGGTTCTCCTCTGAAAGCTGGAGAGGTAGAACTTGGACCATCAGCATAGCCTGGAGCTTGTTATGGGGAAATTCCAGGCTTCCCTCTGGTCCACTGAAGCACAGTCTGTTACAAAGACCACCCTAGTATATGCACTGAAGTCGGACAAGCCCTGGAAAAGTTCCTGGTTTTCTGCCTGGTCCAGAGGTGTCTGGTTATACAGCTGCAGGGGGTTCCAAAGAACAAGGCGTGGTAACAATTCTGGCTGTGCTCAGTGTGTGTGTTCCAAGTCAGTCCCACTCAGTGCAGGTTTCATTTACCTAAGGGGTTGAAAAGCTTTCTTCTCCTGTGCCTCACCTCATTAACAAAAGACCTGGAAGTGACAGCCATCCACCATCACTACAGTGGTAAATACACTAAATTTGCTTCAAATTGACCTCAAGGCCTTTTTAGACTGCCACTTATGTTAAGGTTTTGTAGTGTAGGACAATTCAGTCCTATTCCAGAAACGTCAACTGAGAAAATCCTGCAACCCACTCTTTTACTGAACCAGCATAATCCCTATCTATAGTCTAAATATTTGTTCTTAATTCTTTTTATTCTTTATAGATTTTTATTCTTATATTCGAGGGTTCTATGTTAGGGGCACTTGCTCCCCAGCTCCTATTCTAGTACATTCTTTGAGACACATTTGTGACCTCCATTAATATTCTGGTCAGAGGTCCTTCTACTGCTTTGAGTGCACCTGCCAGTTGTGATATCTGCTCCGATTTGCCCATCTAAACTTCTCTCACTGTTCCCACCACAGTAACGTCTAAGCCTAGTGGCAATGGGAACTCTCTTATTTTCTTTTAAAAATAGTTTCGAGATTATAATACAGTTATATCATTTCCCCCTTCCCTCCCTTTCCTCCCTCCAAACCCTCCCATGTACACACTCCTCGCTTTCATTTAAATCCACAGCATCTTAATTGTTGTTACATACCTATGTGTAGCTTGAGTTTTCCTGCCTGGCCCACAGTCAGGACAAACTCTCTCACCTGCCAGTCCCACAGCCGCTCAGACCCGACCAAGTAAACACAAAGACTTATATTGCTTACAAACTGTATGGTCGTGGCAGGCTTCTTGCTAACTGTTCTTACAGCTTAAATTAATCCATTTCCATTAATCTATACCTTGCCACATGGCTCGTGGCTTACCGGCATCTTCACATGCTGTTTGTCATTGTGGCGGCTGGCAGTGTCTCTGACTCAGCTTCCACTTCCCAGCTTTATTCTCCTCCTTGTCCCACCTATACTTCCTCCTGCCTGGCCACTGGCCAATCAGTGATTTATTTATTGACCAATCAGAGCAACACATTTGCCACACAGAACATCCCACACATAAGTGTGTGTGTGTGTGTGTGTGTGTGTGTGTGTGTGTGTGTGTGTGTGTGTATGTTCCCAAATATAAAAATGCAACTTTCTCAGTCCATATAATGATGTTCCTTGAATGCATATGTTTTCAGGGCTGACCATTTGGTACTGAATAACCAACCTGTGTGCTCTTCCCTGGGGAAGACTATTTCTCCCATTCTCAGTATTCCTTAGTTGCCTGTAATTCTTTCTAGGGTTAAGACCTCTGGAGCCTTCTGCCTTCCATGTTAGCATGTCTATTGGTTTTCTCCTCCTTCAGGCCTTTTTTAGGTAGCCATGTTGATGAGACTTCATAGATATAACTTCTCTGACATTTCTAGAAGACACAATCTCACCACAAACTTCCTATTCTTCTGGCTCTTACAATCTTCCCACCCCCTCTTCCACAATGATCCCTGAGCCTTAGGAGCAGGAGTTGGGTTGTAGGTGTGTTACTTGGAACTGGGCTCCACAACTCTGCATTTTGATCAGTTGTAATTGTTTGTAATGGTCTCCATATGTATTGATGTAAGAAGACACCATGACCAAGGCAACCTCTAAAAGAACATGTCTTAGGGTTTCTATTGCTGTGAAGAGGTCCCATGACCACAGCAACTGTGGTGGCTTATAGTTCAGAGATTCAGTCCATTATCATTTTGTCAGGGAGCATGGCGGCATGCAGGCAGACATGGTGCTGGCTACGTCTTGATCAGAAGGCAACAAGAAGTGGTCTGTCTCACTGGGAGTAGCTTGAGCATATATGAGACCTCAAAGCCTGCCTCCACAACGACACACTTCCTCCAACAAGGCCACACCTCCTGATAGTGCCACTTTTCTTTGGGGGCCATTTTCTTTCAAACCACCACAGAAAGTGTTGTGCCCATGTCACGAAACCCCCAGAGACCACCAAGGAGCCAGTTTCCAATGTAAGCACATAAGGGTCTTTTTGTCAGGTTCGAACCTGGGCCACCACCGGGCAGATGGAGGGAAATGTGGTGGCAGTGGCGGGCCCATGGGTAGAAAGTTTTTATAGGGAAAAACCAATTTAAAAAAGAAGAAAGAAAAAAGCTGGGAATTACATGCTTTGGGATCTTGGGATTGGGTAGAAGGGATATGGGGCAAGGTGATTTTTGAAACTATTGGTCTAGACTTTCGGCACAAAACCACATTTGAAACTATTGGGTTGGACTTCTGGCGGGGAACCACAACTTGCCGAGCAGGATTATCTGGGCTGCTCAGCAGATTATCTGGATATCTTCAAGGGCCATAAACTGCAGACAGACTGTCTGCAGGAGCATACTGCCCTGTATCTGTTAGAGTTGTCATGGCACATTCCTGAGGTCCTTCCTGGAACTGAGTACAGCGGGTGGTCTAAGATGGTGGCCCTTCCCTAAGATGGAGTCTGTAAAGTCAAGTCTAGGCCTTCATATTGCCTTCACAAAAGCATTTACTTAGGGACTTGCTTACAGTTTTAGAGCGTTAGTCCATGACTGTCACGGCAAGAAGCATGCAGGCAGGCAGGCAGGCAAAGCACTGGAGCAGTAGCTAAGAGCTCACATTTGTTGCAAGTTGAAGGCAGAGAGCCAGAGACTGGGTCTGGAGTGGGCTTTTGAAATCCCAAAGCCCACCCCCAATAAC